TTGGTACGATAGGAGAGTACTGACGCAAGTGGTGCAGCTGGTCCAGCAGCTCCGCCAGAAGGGCTGGTTTGCTCACCCCAGGACTAAGCCTTGGAGAGGGGACGGACCCGTCCTCTCTTTAAGGCTTAGTTCTGAGGTAAGCACCAAATTGTGGCGGTTCTAAGGACCGAGTTGAAGTAGTCCGTCGACCGTCGGGGACCCATCCCCTCCCCAACATTCAGCATACGGCCCCAGCAGAAACGCCAAAAGGGCTGGTTTGCTTACTTCCACTGAGGCGTACTAGAAGCTACGAAGACAAGCGGGGTCACTAAGCCGATTGGAAGTATAAGTCGGGGTTTTGGCACTTAGCGACGAGCGACTCAATCGTAGTAGCACAATCCGAGGTGGAGAGTCACACTGGCTAACTACTCTCCTTTTTGCTGGGGGACCCCTGTGCGATTCTACTTGCTAAATTTGCAACCTGCTACGGTCACAGATTGAACAGGTAGGAGATATGCCCTTCTTTTTGACTGTGGCTTTCAGGCGCATTGGTTCTTTTGCCTGACAGAAAAAAATGTTTGAAAGTGGCACCTTTTGGGGCATCTTAATATTTATTGAGCTCGGAACTGATGTGAGTATCTGAAGTAAATATTTCATAAAATCTTTTATCTGGTTTCCTGACTAGTTCGTCGTGTTCCGTCGACGCATTTGATTCTTACTATCTCTTACCACTAATGAATGATGTATAATGAAGCCGCCATCCTTTCAAAAGCTTCTACCGTACACACACGTTCTGTTCGACACCATTATAAAGAAAAAATTCAGCAACGTTATCAGACCTTAATACTTCTAAACATTCCTCTCTCGTTCTCTTTGATGCTAAACTATGATTTTTAAGAGCTCTACTTCATAAAGAACCTTCCTTTCGTCTTGGATGTCGTCGTGTCAGTAAACCAGAAGAAGGAGCCGAAGAAATTCGCGGACATTCTTTTTTCAACACCGCCGAAAGTAAGACAAACCGTGAACCGGTGCCTTGGAAGAAAATGGAAGCAGGAAAGGTAGTAGCTTTAGCATATCGCATTCCGCAACATTTCCTCAATTGACAGTAACTAAAATATTAACTTGTACTGAACGCATTCACATCTATACTCCCTTTCAAAAAACGAGAAGAGCGTCGGGTGCAGACCATACACCACAAGTGACGACGGCCTCCACAAAATGTAAATGTTTTCTGCCAATGAAATGATTAGCCTGTTGCAGTTGTATTCTCAGTTGTCACTAATTACAACTATCATTTACCAGAAATCAGCTATCACTATGAACACTACTAACCAGAAAGGTACCTGGAGCCGTTCGTCACTTATGGTGTATGGTCTGCACCCGACGCTCTTCTCGTTTTTGAAAGGGAGGGTACTTGGCCTTGTTTTCTAAATTTCTGGGAACTTTCAATAGCGTGTTGACCTAGGTCCAAGTATAGATAAATATCACTTGTGGTTTTGCAACCAGAGCGTCACAGCGAGCCGGAGATATGTGGTGAGTTCAGGACAGTACAGCACGCTGCACTACGTACACTAGCTGAGTGTTTTTCTAATGTAAGCAAAGCCCGTGGACATTAGCAGGTGATCACTCCACATCATCCTAGCCTTACGCTCGCTACCGCGGTTCTGCCACAGCGCGTCACCCTCTCGTCCTAACGCTTGTACTCAACTTCCTAGTAGGCTCTCTCCCACCATCTGATGCCCGCTCTCTCGCACTTCATTGTTCCCCTGTTTAGCTTAGACCGCGTTACCCTCCTGCAGTACACCCTAAAAAAAAGTGGGACAAACACACACTCACAGACATACTTAGCTCCTTGTAGGTAGTAGAATGATTGGCACACTATTTTCTTTAACTGCCCACTCTCCAAACTGAGGCTGAATTTCAATCGAAATTTGTCCACGGCTAAGGATTTGGCTAGAAAGTTGTCTCGGGGGTAGTTTAACCCGTAGAATCCGAATGTCGCACCAGCTTAGCGCGAAAATCCACTGTCTTTGCGCCACAGGCGCTGGCGCTCTCACATCACTTTTGCGCTGGCGCCCATAGCGTAGGCGACAAGCCTTCGCAGAGAACTAATGTGATATTGATATTTTACGGGTCAAACCATCCCGGCGAAAAATTATCAGAGAATTTGGTGATCCGCCAGGTCAGGTGTTCTTCGCGCGTGACGCTTTTATTGAGGCGCAGCGTAAGACCTTTCGCGCGCGCTAAACGAATTTGATGTTCGTATTTCATGGGTCAAGCTTCCCCCGGGGGTCCTTTCTAGCCATATGTTCTGCTCATTTTGGAGGTGTGGGGCAGTGAAAGTGCCGAATGATTCATTATTGGTAGGTTAAGTAAAGTAGTAGTTAGGGGCAATGTTATGTCATAGCTGTTTGTGGTGCATGTGTAGGCTTTTCTTAGGAGTTATTTAATTGTCAGGTCAACTGGAAAAATCATCGATGATACAGTTTTCTTGATGTCTTAAAGACAAGGTTACGATAGGTTTGAGAAGGGTTTTAGAGGAGACTGGTGGTGCTCAATGGTACGCCAGTGGCGAAAAAAGCGGAGAAATCCGCCAAGAAAACGCAAAACGGGACCCTTTTTGGCCGTTGGTTTTCACTCATGAACAGGTACAGCTCAGAAAGCGGACGTATGAAACGAGGGTTCAGCGCAACGCGTGGGAGACAAGCATACTGCTGGGCAACGCAGCTCGTCCAAATCACCAAGTAAACTAGTGGGCGGATCGCTTTTGGGGCGGAGTGCTTTCGAAGTCCTGCTCAGCAACCAGCGCACCTTTCGTCGTGAAGCGCCACACCTCGCTTCCCTGGCAGCCAAGTAACTGATTCGTGTGGTGCATATGCTTCCCCGATGCGCTCCCTCTTTATCGTAATCGCTGCCTTTAAGTTTCATCAGAGGAAGTGTGCATTGTTTCGCCGCACTTATTGATAATTCATGTTAAAAAATTGAAATTTGCTTTTATAATTCATGCTTAGCATTTGAGTCAGCAGACAGGTCATTTTCATGCTTTTGAGTTGTTCATTATAGGTGACACCTCCATTTTGTCCAGATCCACGTGCAGTATATGCGAAAGATGTCTTAGATATCGAACAGTTCAGTACTGTGAAAGGAGTTCGATTAGATGCCAACGACTCTGTATTTTATGGAAAATTTAGTACTGGATGTGTAAGCATTCCGTGGCAAAATGAGGTGAGTTTTTTTCGCTTGGGCGGTTCATCTTTATGAGCTTCATTCCTAATGAAGTGATGTAGCGGCCAGCTTTGCTGCTTTTAAAGAGCCAGCGGATTTCTCGCACTTGAAGTACCTTGTTGTTGTTGGCAGACTGTGGAGTCAGTCACCAGAGGTAGGATTACTGCGCTGCAAGAAAAGAGAAAGTTCATCGGTTGGGTCTGTGCTTCCCAACTTACGTACCCCATGGGGAATGATTCAGGGCTCTTCACAAGTGTATGTAGGGCGTGGAAAAGAACTGTCTTCGCACAGTGTATAGATGATTTGAGCGCAAGGTGAACAGAGCTTTTTGACACATCAGGTGCCAGCCGTTGCCTAGCAGTCGCACCATTCGTACAGTAGGACGTGGCATCATTAAGTCGACGTTTTTACCTCTCAGAACGTTTCCTTGGTCTTCTGATTATCGCGTATTCTGTCGTAGGATCCATATTGTGGCAGAATTTTCTGCTCAAATCATGAGGTAGATCTTTTCTTGAGTTGCTGCACTACCTGCCATATCCTTGTTAGCCCTGATTTGCCCTTCTTCTAGTTTGATAAGTGCGTTCCGCCTGGCACGGCACTTCAGAACATACGAGGAAAGGAAAGCAAACAGATAACATAACAAAAATAATGATAGCAATAACAAATCAACTTCTTGGCATGTGGACGACTCATTTTTCGTTAATTATCTGGATTTCTTATATACTGATGTACACACTAAGGGCTATCACCAATGTCTACTAGAATCTTGTGACAGAAAAACCAAAGAAATTTGTACTTACGGGACATAGCGTTCTTCGAA